GAGCTGTGCTGTTTGCCGGCAGCAGCAGGAGTCAGGCTGCACGAGGGCTGGGTCCTCAGCTGAAATCCCACCGCCGCTGGCGCACGGCTGCTGCTTCTGTGTCCTCTTCCTCCTCTCCATCCATCAGATCCACCCCTGTTCCTCTGCATCCATCACATCCACCCCTTCCTCTCCCCAGCCGTTGTGTCCGTCCCTTCCTCGTCTCCATCTCTTGCGTCCATCCCTTCCACCTCTCAGCTTTGCCTTTCCGTCCCCGAGGCATTTATTTGGGCTATCTCTAGCAGTTGGAAAATACAAGTTTGTATTTCCTCTTTCACTCTCAAACATCACTGCAGGGGAAACTGGAAAGGAAAAAGTTACGTATGCAGCAGCTTTGTGACTTCTACCAAAGCCTTTTGTTTTTAGCTGTAAACTTTCAGGGGAAAATATTGCCCTCCCTATGCACCTGCAGAACATCCACTGCCTCCCTGGGCTTCTGTGTCACCTTCCTTCCAGGGAAGGACCTGCAGCCCCAGCCCTGCCGGGGTGACACATCAGCCTGTCTCATTATTGCCCTGCCTTACCCCAGTGCTGTAATGGGCTTTGTTTCACTGTCCCAGCCCAAGCTCTGTCATCCTCCTTGTTTTGCTTCCAGCAGATTCAGAATTGCTTTCTCAAAGCACTCACCTGGCTGGAGCAGCCCTCATATGCATCAGATCCTGAGGCACACACACACCAGTTCCCATTGCAGGGTGTTAAAGCAGGGGCTGGGGATGGTGTTAAAACAAAGAGAGAGGAGGAAGGGGGTCCTCAGCGAGTTTGGGGGTGTCCTGTCCATGGAGGCACCTGAGCTACAGGTGGGGACAGCTGGGGGGGGCTGGGGGCTTTGGGGTCCATTGGAGTCCCATCCAGCCCAGCATGCTGTGATGCCATGGTTCTGTGATCCTTAACATCCTTCCAGCCCAGCCATGCCATCATTCCATGGTTCTGCAGTCTTTTCTCACACAGTTACACCGTGCTGTGGCTGCAGTGTGTTTGCAGTGCAATGCTGTTCCAGCTCCTCTTGGAGCTGACAGGAGCTGGGTTAATGAGCAGAACGTCAGCCATCAAACGGCGCTGCCTGCTGCATTTCACGCCCGTCTGTCTTTGATGCAGGCAGCGAAATGCAGCAGTGACAAACATAGAAAGAAAGCAGCGACCTTACAAGCTAAATTGAGTCCTTTGCTTTCCTGTAATGTGGTCTTGAAACTGTGAGAGTGGAGGAGGGAAGGGAGACAGAATTCATGGGAAACCTTTTGTCTGTGGAAACAGAATGGATGTGGAGAGAAATGCTCCCTCCTTCCTTCCAGGGCGTTTAAATATTCATTTTGGGAGCACGCCCAGCCAGCAGAGCTGCCACATTGGCTCCCCACGGCTGCAGGCTGTGCCCGCATCCCCTGTTGGGTTTTGCTGCACGTCTCGAGCAGGACTGAGAGCTCAGGTGCCGAAAACAGGAGTTGCATTGCATCAGCTGAATTGCAGCCCTGGGTTCAGTCCTTCCTGTGAGCACTGCTGAGGAGCTGCAGCCCAGGAGCAGCGCAGTGCCGTGGGGCTGCGCAGGGATGGCCCGCAGCGAGGCGGTTTCCTGCGGTGGAGGTGGGAGCGCTGTGCTCACGTCCCCCCGTCTTACAGCCCTGACTATTTTAGCTCATGCAAATCTTTTGTTTCCTCCTCACGTGGCTGCAGGGACACAACGCAGCCCACTGCCGGAGACGGGCCTGCCACCGGCCTTTGGGTCGGGTCAGAGCGGTGCTGCTGCGTGCTTGAGGGCAATTAATACTCGTGGCTAACGAGGGTCGGTGCCTGCACTGCCATAACGTTCCCTGCGTGCCCCTTTGACAGCGGGCTCTGCTCTGGGAGCCCCACGGACCTTCCCAGGGCACAGCGCAGGGCGGCAGGGTGGCAGCACCAGAGTGCCTCTGGCAGGGGGATGGTGCTGGCTGTGGGGCCATGGCGGCCGTGGGATGGAGGGATGCGGCGCCCGCTGCGGGGGGAGGTTGCCATGGCTACAGCGGGAGCATCCCTGGTGCAGCGCGGTGCTGCATCCTAAAAATAATCGTGCTGGAATGGGAACGGCTGCGTTCCCAGCCCCCGCTGGGGGTGGTGGGGAGCTGTGGGGAGCTGTGGGGCTGCAGCCCCTCCCGTGGCACAGCCGTCACGTTTCCTGCAGCTTCTTTGCGGGGGGAGGAGGGCTGCGCAGCGCTGCCTGCTGCAGGGACAGAGCATCACCTCCTATTTGCAGCACGGAGCTGAAGAGAAGCCCCCAGCGCAGCGATCTCTGCGTGCTCCGCAATCCCCCCTCACCGTGTGCAGCTGTGGGAGCTGCTGGAGGCTCTGAGAGCAGCAGTGGGGGCATCGCACCGAGTCACAGCGAAGGGCCCTTTTCCCAGAAGCACCCTGAATTAATTCTGGTCGTTTCTTTCGTGGTGAGGGATGGAGAAGCAGTTGCTTTGCCTCCCCAGCACGGCGCTGCAGCGCAGGCACTCATCTCCGTGGGGTTAGAGCATCGCTCCCAGCTCTGCCGTCTCCCTCCTGGAATATTTCCTGTCCCCTGTCCTGTCCCCACGGACCCGGTCGTTCTGCACAGTTCCCATTCTCACGGTGCCTCTGTTGTGGGGCAGTGCTTAACAACACGCAGCTCCTGCGGTCCTTCTGTGGCGCTGACCACGAGTGCACTGCGATTTACAAGTCAAACGAAAGCGCAGCTCTGCTGGTCTGGTTTGACGAGATTTAGAGACACCTTTCATTACCTCTCTCCAAAGCACATCCAGTGGAGCAGACGGGAGCCCGGCAGGTTTGTTGTTAGCGGCAGGTCGGCTCTGCGCCGTCCATCACCGCGTGTCTCACATTTTTGGGATGGAGCTGCGGTGCTCCCGGCAAACCAACCTGTAATTAACGCAGCGATTTGGGCTGAGCTGGGGTGAGTGCTTTGAAGTCTGCGTCGCTGACTGCTTTCACTGCAGAATTCAGTCCCAGGCCTAAGAATGAAGGGAATTCCACCCGAAATTCGAGGTGTGTTTTGAGCAGAATGAAGGACGCAGAGTGGGGGCTTGTGCTGTTATCTGGCATCTCTTTGGCACTGGAACTGGTGAGGATGAGTGCAGGTGATGCCCGTCGGTTGATGGCCTGTTGGTCGACCCAGAGCGCTTCCCTTCCCTGCACGCTGCAGGCAGGAGCTGGGAGGGATGGTGCTCAGAGCTCATTTCCCACAGGAAAGGGCTGAGGTGTTTCGTGCTGGGTTTACTCTCTGCTGGACAGATGCTGGTGGAGCGGCTTTGGCTCCCAGCACTGAATTCCATTTGTAGATGTGACCCGAAATGGGGCACTGCTCGTCGTTCTGTGAGCACCTTGGCAGCTGCTGCTGGTTCTACTGAAGCTCTTGCTTGGGTAGTTGGAATGGAAAATATTGACTAGGCATAGGTTTAATTTAGGTTTTAATGATCATTTTTGGGTGAGTCGTCTTTAGATCCCTCCCATGGAGCAGCCAACGCTGGAGGGGTTGGGGAGGAGGGAGCCCAAAATACACCGCGTCCTCTCCTCCCTTCTGCCTGTGTCCCATGCAGCCAGGCAGCAGGCAGACCATCCTCCTGGCTTTCTTCTCCTTTGGATCATGCAATTGAAGAGATAATGAAGGCTGAAGGAGGGATCATGGAGCAATCAGCCCTGGGATAGATTTTCTCAAGTGGGGATTTCCCACCCCATCTTCATCCCCATCCCTATTTCATCATAACTGTCTTCAACCCATCCCATCCTCATCCTCATCCCCAACCCAGTGCCTCCCATCCCATCCCATCTGACCCCATCCCCAACTCAACCCATCCCATCTCATGGAATCCCCACCCATCCCACCATTGACCACCGCAGGGTTTGGGGCTTCAGATCCATCCCTGGTCACTGCAGGGTTTTTCCCCCATGCTCCAACCTTTGTATACAGAAGTTGGCTTAGGAAGCCAGGCTGATGCTCTTTAATGTCCTCATCAGTGACACGGCTGCGTTATGGGTGTCCATTTGTGCTCTGAACCAATGAAGCTTTTGGGAACCACCGAGGGGCAGAAGGCAGCGCGAGTGGGAAGGGAGGAGCAGGCACCAGGAGCAGAGCTGTTTCGCAAAGCGTTTTCTCTCTTAATCATGGAGAAGCCGCCAGCCACCTCCGCAGCTCGCATCTGTGTTGCCAACCCAGCATCCTGAGGTCGGGCTGCAGGGCGCTCTGTGTTTGTGAAGGCAGCAGAAGCTCGTGCAGTGTCTGCGCGCACGTCCTGCTGGGATGGGACTCGTTTCCATCGTGGTCGCTGTGCCGTGGGGCTCTTTGGCTCAGCCCACACCTCTGACACTGAGATGATTTCACAGCAGTGGCTCCTTATCTCCTTACTGCAGCGGCCCTTCAGAACACATGGAGGGAACCTCTTGACGCGCTGCGATAGCCCCGGAACAAAGAGTTCAGCCATTAGCAGCGGAAGCATCGGCTTTGCAGTTCATTTCTCCCCGTTTGCTGCTCAGTTTTTCGATTTATCGCAGAGAAAAATGTGGCAGATTTAACCCTGCTAAGCCCAGAGGAGGAGGGAGCTGGCAGCAGGAGGGGGGAGATATTCTGCTCGAATGAATGGATGCCGAGCGCTGGAGCTGCTTGCTGTTCATGGCTTCAGCTGCTGTGGATGGAGACAGTTCTCAGTGCCATGGGAAATCTGCTGATGGCTCCTCTGGAGTGCAGAGGAATGAGTTTGGTGGAGGCAGAGCAGAAGTAGGTCAGCTACTTCAATAAGGTGGTGGTGCTGCAGTGGCTGTGTGAACTGCACTCGTGTGGGGTGAATGAAGCAACGAGAGCAAAGCACAGCAAAGCGCCGGTCTGCGTTGGGGACAGCAGCCACAGAGCCTTTCATTGAGCTCTGATTCCCAGACCTCTCCTCTCCTCTCCTCTCCTCTCCTCTCCTCTCCTCTCCTCTCCTCTCCTCTCCTCTCCTCTCCTCTCCTCTCCTCTCCTCTCCTCTCCTCTCCTCTCCTCTCTTTCCCCTCTTCCCCTTCTTTGTTTTCCCTTTTCCCTTTTTCCCTTCTCCCTTCCCTCCCCTCCTCTCCTCCACAGCCTCTTTATGGTGTTCTCATATGCCCTGAAGCTGTCACTAACTTCTCTCTCATTTTTCTTAATTTTTTTTATTAGTATTACTTCTTTTTTCCCATTAAGTGACAGGGACAAGGGTTGAAAATAGAGGTTTTCAGGTCAGAACTGGAAATAGGTGCTGCTGAGCACGGCCACGTAAGGGCAGAGCTGGGAAGGAAGCACCTCGTGCTGGGGCAGAGGGGCGTCCCCCCACTGGGGACATCCGGGGGCATTCGCACAGCTCTGGGCACTGTGGGGTTATGTGGGGTTTGGGGACGCTCGGCAGCAGCCTGGCTGCACACACAGCGCGTGATCTGGGACCTGGGCGCCTGGCTGCCATGGTTACATGAGCTGTGATGCTGAAGGCGCCGCTCTCCATCAAAGGGCAGCGGGGGACGGCGATCCTACAGAGCTCCAGTGATCCCACAGAGCTCCAGTGATCCCACAGGGCTCCAATGATCCCACAGAGCTCCAGTGATCCCACAGGGCTCCAGTGATCCCACAGAGCTCCAGTGATCCCACAGGGCTCCAGTGATCCCACAGGGCTCCAATGATCCCACAGAGCTTCAGTGATCCCACAGAGCTCCAGTGATCCCACAGGGCTCCAGTGATCCCACAGGGCTCCAGTGATCCCACAGGGCTCAATGATCCCACAAAGCTCCAGTGATCCCACAGGGCTCCAATGATCCTACAGAGCTCCAGTGATCCCACAGGGCTCCAATGATCCCACAGAGCTTCAGTGATCCCACAGAGCTCCTGTGATCCCACAGGGCTCCAGTGATCCCACAGAGCTCCAGTGATCCCACAGGGCTCCAATGATCCCACAGAGCCCTGGGAGCCCCACGCTCAGTTTTACCCCAGAGCTGTGTGACCATTCCGGGGCTGCAGCTCCTGCCTGCTCCCAGCGCCGCTGCTCTGCTCCCCACCCCCCCCCAGCAGTGGGAGCAGAGCTGCAGGGCTGTGCTGCTGTCCTGGGGGCGCAGGGCTGTGCAGCACCATCAGCTGCTTCAGCAGCTGTCTGGCAGCAGCAGATCCCCATCCCCGTGTGCTGTGGGTGGCACACAGCTGAAACCCCACAGCCCCAGTTCTTTCAGGGGGGGAACGATGCACACTGAAGTCGTTTCTTCTGAATTTCTCCATCAGCACAGAAATTCCTTACCCACGAGGCACCCAAAGAAGTGTGGGTGCCCCATCCATGGAGATGCTCGTGGCTGTTGGTGAGACTCTGGGATCCCTTCCAACTTGACTGTGCTGTGGTTTTATGGGTCTGTGGTCTTCAAGGTCCCTTCCAACTCAACCCAACCCAACAGAATGCAACCCAGTGTAACCCAACCCAACACAACCCAACCCAACACAACCCAACCCAACACAACCCAATCCAACATAACCCAACCAAACTCAACCCAACCCCACGTAACCCAACCCAACCATGCCATGATTCCATGTTTCTGTGACCTTTAAGGCCCCTTCCAACCCAACCATCCTATGAGCCCCTGGTTCTATGAACTCTTAACCAACGTCTCGTGAGGACGTGGCCATCGGGAGCCCTGAGCTGGATGTGCAGCACTGCTCCTTGTGGGAGCAGGACAGCTTAGTGCTGCTCATCCTGTGCAGGGATGGAGCTGTGATGTCAGAGCCAGGAAAGCACTCTGCCTTCATCTTCCTAAGTGCTCCTCCATCACTGGTGCTGCTGCATTTCCAATGCTGCTTTCACTCCATCCATGGCCAGGAGCTGAATCACCTTCTTGGCACGGTGGTTTCTCGTTAGAAATGCAGCACTGGGGCATTTTGTGGCAAGGTCGGGTCGTACCAAAGCCAACAGGCAGATGGGAGCCTTTCCCCACATCTCTGCCAGACCTCAGGATAGCTGAGAGATGGGGGGCCGTTGGGTGCTGGAGCTGCACCCCATGGATGTGGGCCCCCCTCCGCTTGGAAATCTTTCTCCTGGTGGAGGACATGAAATATTAACGCGCTGCCCGTGCTTTGTTTGTTGCAAGCTGCTTTGCTGATGAGATTTCCTGGGAATTCCCTACTTAGCAGCCACGTTTTTCATCCCGCAGACCACGGAGCAGCTTTAGCAAATGCTTCGTAAGGGATAAACGGCGGCAGGCTTTGAACCAGGGGAGAGGAAATGGCAGAGCCTTGTGAAGCGCCCTGGGAATTGTTCTGCTTCTGGGGAGCAGAAGTGGGGACGCCCTCCAACCTTGGTATCGTTGTGCCGCACGCCCCAACGTGCTGCAGGAGATACACACACATGGCTGCTGCAGCGCTGGGCCTTATCTGCCCCGCACGGAGCCTCGGCGCCAGCGGTGGGGCTGCTGACACCCGGCCTCCTCCAGACCCTGCGCTTTTCTCTGAGGTCTTTTCCACGTTCCCTGGGTGGGCGCTGAGGGTCGGGGTTGCACCGGACGATCCCACGGGTCTCCTGCGCCCCGCTTGGCTCCGTGTGACGCCTCCGGTCCCTTCGAAGCCTCAGCTCTGCAGGGAGCCGGGCAGCGCCCGCCGGCTTGTGGCGAAGCCTGGTCGGGAGGCCGAGCCGTGGGAGCTCCCGCTATCGGGCGCCGATCCCGCTGCCTCATCCCGCCCCACTGAAGGCCGCGCCGGGCCGCGTGCCGACATGTGACGCGGGGAGCTGAGCCCGCAGCGCGGCCCGCTAAGACGGAACAAAAATAGCCGCCTAAGCGGGATCGGGGCCGCGGCTCGTGGCAGCGGCTCGCACGGAGCGCCGGGCCGCGGCTGGGCGTCGCGCGGTGCGGGCGCTGTGCTGACCGCCGCCCTTTGCTTTGCAGCGAGAAGCGCGCGCTGCGCGTCAGCGTGGCTCACCCGGTGCAGTGCAGCCTGCACGGCAGGAAGTGCTCCGTCTCCGTGGAGACGCGGATCGACCAATCGCAGCCGGATTTCACCAAGCATCGCTCCGGGTTCGTCCTCTGCGTGCCGGGCAAGTAGCCGCCCTGCGGCCCCGGGAGCGGCGCGGAGCTTTGGGGCTGCGACCGCCCGGCCCGTGGGATCCGTTTGGAGGCGCCGCGCCGGACGGCCCCGAAGCTCGGCGCTCGACGAACCCGAATCCGGGAGCTCCGCGGCCGCGGTCGCTCTGCGACGGCTCTGCGCGGCCGCCGTGGGTCGGGACGATGGGAAAAGCTTCTGAATTCTCCCCCAAAGCATTTATGGTACCGATGCCCCCCCGCCCCCCCACGGCGGTGCCTCAAGCCCCCCCTCCCGGCTCTGCGGGAGGACCCAAAGTCACCGCAGCGGGCCGGCGGCGCGGCACTGACCGACGGCACGGGGCGGTGAGAGGCTCTGCTGCCCGCTCGGCTGGGGCTCCCGGTGCAGAGCAGTTGGGAGGCCTCTCCGTGCCGGCTTTGCCTTAATTCCCCCTGCATTGCCCCAAACGTTCCCGTGACCTTCAGACGCCGCGTGCCCCCACAGCACCGCTGCAGTGGGGCTGCGCTGCGCCCCGAAGCTCCCCACGGCCGCACCGCGACCCCGCTGCAGCCGCTCCCGGCACTGCCGGTCAGGTCGGGACTCACAGCACGATGGCAGAGATCAGAAATCCCAGCAGAGCCGTGGGGCAGCGCTGGAGCCCGACGCCGCGCATCCCGAGGGCAGCGGGACGCGCAGCCCCTCCTGGCCCCGTTCGGTGGGACGTGGGGCCGCCCCACGGCACTGCGGCCATAGGGACGTCCCCACGGCCCCGGCTGCCCTCTGCCCCGACCCCCCTCCCCCCCCCGCAGCCCCCTGGCGGTGCCCGCTTTGCACTCCGGGCTCTGAGCAGCACTTTGTGCCCCGCTGCTCCGTGCGGCGAGGAATGGCGTGGAGGAGATTGTGGTGCTGCGGGATGGCAGTGCTGTACGTCATGAGACGTCTGTATGAAATGCATCATCTGTTCCAGCTCTGGTTTTATATATATATATATATATATAATGTATAGAGAGAGAGTTCTGCTTTGTTCCCACGAATGAACTGCTGCTGCGCTGCGTTGGGGCGAAGCCATAAACGAGCTGCTGCTGACCCGGGGCCGCGCTGCAGCGACCCCTCTTTATTTGTTTGTTGATTTCAAGTCGTCGGCATTTGAACGTGTAAAAGAGCAACAAAAGAACCTGCCGTGCCTCCACCGCCAGCACTCAGCGCGGCCGTGGGGGGCGGATGGGCCCGGCGGGGGGGGGGGGTGACCCCCAGCACAGAGAGCAGCGTGCCGTGTGATGGATGCTCAGTGCGTTTTATTTCATCAGCACAGTACAAAAATAAATAAAAATAAGGGGGAGGGGAGGGGGGGGCATTAAATTACAGGCACACGGGGCCCCGCGACACGGTCTGTCGGGTTATAAACCACACATACGTACAAACGCACTAAACACACACATACAAAAAGGAGACGAAGATATAAATTAAGAACAATACCCACCAATTTGGTCAACAGATCTACGGAGGAGATTGCACTAAAAAAAAAAACAAACGGACGCGTGGAGCTGCAGCGGATCCCAATGTACAGCGATGGAGGAATGGCACCGTGTGCGGCGGGGCTGCGGCCCCGCTCCGGGTTGGGTTTTTTTGTTGTCGTTGTGTGTGAGCGTGTTTTTTTTTTGTTGTTGTTGTTTTTTCCCTTTTTTTTTTCGGTTTTTTTTTTCGTTTTTTTAATTCCCGAAGACACAAAATGCTCCGATGGCTGCATGCGCGATACCACTGTCAAAGCAACGATGAGAGAAGGGAGGGTGGGGGGCTGGCGGCGGTTCCCCGCTGGTTGGGGTTTGTCCGATAGCAGCAGATGCCGTCCCGGAGGTCCTTCCAACACTCCCGGATCGGTGCCCGACGGGAACCCCGACCCGCAATCACCGCCGCGGGGTCGGCGCTGGGGGCCGCGGCCGCCCGACTGCAGGGGACGCGGACGGGGCGGCGCGGGGCTCCAACACCGCGACCCCTCCGTCGGTCACTTCAATGGGGATCGTCGGTGCCGGGGTCACCTCGAAGGGAATCGGCGGCGGGCCGAGGAGAGCCCTCCTCCGGGCCGCCTCGGAGAGGAGAACGGATGGGGCGGCGGGAGCCCCGAATGGGGGCCGCCTCGGTGGGGATAACGGACGGGGGGAGGGGAAGCCTCCGGCGGAGTCACCTCGGGGCGGCGGCGGTCGGGGCGCTGCGGGGCTCACCGGTCGAGCCCGATGAGCAGACGGCCCTTCTCCTCCGCGCCGCTCTCCTTCTTGAGGTCGGCGAAGACCTGCGTGAAGAAGTGGGGGTCGGCGTTGACCTGCAGCATCTTGGGGCTCATGAGGTCGATGATGGAGAGGCAGCGGTCCCAGAAGGCCTCCTTACAGCTCTCCACCAGGAAGGGCTTCAGCGGGTAGGAGATCTCGTTGCCCATGTAGGAGTAGGAGAGGTACAGGCAGGTGAGCAGCACCGCCTGAAGTTCGTGGTCGCTGCCCACCTCGGCCGAGATGACGTCGCGGCACAGCATGTAGAGGAACACCACGTTGGCCGGCGTGATGAAGCCCTGGTCCTGCCAGCCCTGCAGCAGCAGCGAGCGGTCCACGGAGCGCAGCCACAGCACCGGGTCGGTGGGCGAGAGGTGCTTCAGGCGGTAGCAGCGGCGGCACAGGAACTCGCCCAGGCAGCGCAGCAGTTCGCTGGTGGACGCCTGGACCACCACGCGGCGCGGGGTGGCGGTGGCGGCGGCGGGACCCCCGGGGGGGTTCTTCTGAGCCGGGGGGAGCGCGGCGGCGGAGGAGGAGGAGGAGGAGGAGGGCGGCGGGGGCGCGAAGGTGGCGAGGTTGGCGCAGGAGAGCGATTTCTTCAGGTTCTCGTTGTTGAGGTGGGTGACGTTGCTCTGGTAACCGCCGTTGGGCTGCACCTTTTTGGAGCTTTTCTTCTTGGCCGAGACGGCGGCGATGCGCTTCCAGGGCAGCACCGAGATGAGCGAGTGCCGCTTCAGGCCCTTCTCCTTCGCGTTTTTGCTGTTCTGCACCGCCGTGTAATGCCCCACCGTGGCCGTCCCCTCCTCGAACAGCGGGGCCTTCCGGTAGCTCGGCGACAGCGACAGCACCGTGCCCATGGCGCCGGCCGCCCGCCGGGCCCCGCCGCCCGCCCCGGCCCCGGCCCCGCTCCGCCGCCGCCGCTCAGCGCCGCGCTCAGCCCCGCCCCTCCGCCCCTCCGCCCCGCGCGCTCCCGCCGGCGCAGTGCGCGCCCCCGCGCCGGCCCCGCTCCGCCCCTCCCGCGTCGCCACGTGCGTCCGGCGCGCCGGCGGGGAAAGGAGAGGCCGCGCCCCCTGCGCCGCGAAGCCACGCCCACCGCGCGGAACCACGCCTCCCCATTGGCGCGCTCCGCGCTGACCGCGCCCCCGAGCGGGGCTTTGGCCACGCCCCCCCGCCCGGCGTTACGGAGCCGCGCTTTGCTGCCCGCAGCTCAACGGGAGCCGCCGGCACAGGGAGCAACGCGCTGCTCGGCACAACGCCGACGCTCCGTGCGGGGCGGGCGGCACCGGGCGGCGCCTCAGGGCCCCGCAGCTCAACGCGGGCACGGAACGGCTCGGGGGCGACGCGGAAGGCGCTGGCAGCGCAGCGCAGCGCGGCTCTGAGAGCCGCACAGAAGCCCCCCCCCCCCCCCCCCCCCCAGCAGCTCTGCGCTCCCCCCGCACTGCAGGGGAGGGAGATGAAAGTGAAAGAGAAGAAAAAAAACCCAAACCAAAAAAACCTCATTTTATTGGAACTCATCTGAACATCAGATACAGCGGTGGTGGGCAGCACAGAACCGTTCAACGCGGCGGCGGTGCCCAAAACCCACCCAGAGATCGGGGGGTGGGGGGGAGGGGAAGACGTGGAGGAGGTGCAGTGCTGAGGAACGGGGCGGTGCGGGGCATCCAGCGCTGCGCGGCGGCTCCGGGGCCAACGATGGGGGGGCGGCCGGGTCTCAGCGCCCCAGCAGCGGCGCGAGGCGGAGCGGAGGGCGCGGAGCGGCCCCCAGTGCACGGAGCGGCCGCCGTTCGTCTCCTGCGTTCCGCCGAGTGGCGGCGGGGAGGGGCGCGGCTGGGGCCGCACCGCAGGAACAGCACCGGGAGGGGAGGATTAAAAACTTTCCGAGCGAAAAGTGGAACAAAACGTCTCCTAAAGGATTCACTCTCCCGTCACACACACACGCGGCAGCGCAGGGCCGGCTCTGCACAACACGAGTGGCTGTGAGCAGGGGGGCACGGGGCGCTCCTGCAAAGCGCGGCTGCACCCCTCTCACCTATGTCAGCTTCTTGGCTTTGTTGTAGAGCGAATCCACCACTTTGCTCATGTTCTGAATCGTCTCCAGGGCGGCTTCGTACGTTTTGTCCACGGGGGGTTCGTCGAAGATGATGAGGACGCCCTCGCCCTGGTCGAGGATCCCTGCGAGGCACAGAGCTGCAGTCACTGGGTGCCAAAGGGCTCCGTGTGCCCCAAAGCACAGCAAGAGTGCTGCCGCGGGGCTGAGCACAGCTGGGCAGCACTGAACCGGGCGCTGATTAACGAGCAATTAACACCCCGGATTAATGGAGCGGCAGCGACGCCTCATTGTTTCCCCACACCGTGGGCAGCCTGAGGGGTGCAGAGGGGACCCAGGGCAGCGGTGCGGGGTCTCACCGTGGAACTTCTTGTCCAGGATCATCTGTGAGAGTTTCCTTTCCACGTCCGCCTGGAAATGAAGCGCGCAGATGTTGGGAAACGCTCCCAGCGCCGCCCTGCTGACAGTGGGGCACAGCAGGGCAGGGCAGCCCCACACGCGGCACCAACAGCCGTGCTGCAGCTGAGCCCCTGACACTGGGGTGCCCCCCAGGGCCGCCCTTACCTTGGAGAGCTTGATGAGGCCGGAGATGTGCTCCATCTGTAAGAGCAATGGCGCAGCTGCAGCGCCCCTCTGGGCAAGGGCTGCCGAGGCTTCCCCACAGGGCCCAGACCCACGCATGTCGCAGGGCTGACACTCTGCAGGGCCCCCCAAACTCACTCCCTGCCCCAGACGGCTGCGGCCTCAGCCCTGCCCAACCACAGGAGGGGCTGCTCCTCCCCCGTGTGTCAGCAGAAGGGGAGCGGAGCGCAGCAGGTGTGCAGGGCCCCCAGCAGCACTCGCTGGGCACTGACCTGCACTCGGGAGAAGGGCTCGATGACTCTGATCAGGTTCTGCTCCAATAAGTTGTCGTAGAGCTTTGCCAAGTGAGTGTTAATGATGGGGTCGTCCCGGAGCTCCACTTTGTAATCCGTCAGCGCCTACAGAGCGGGAGCAGTGAGCGCAGCACGGCCACCCCCAGCAGAGCGGAGCACGAGGGGCCGCAGCGTGGGGCACCGCAGCCCCCAGCCCCGCAGCTCCCCAGCTTCACCTTCTCAAAGTCCGCCAGCGAGCGGTTCTTGCTGGCCTGCGCCACGCACTTCAGCGCCTCCGTCTGCAGGGGAAGAAAGGAGCTGCTCGCCTGCGGGGTCGGCAGCAGCGGGGCGAGGATCGGCGCCCAGCAGCACCGGAAGCCCTGGCTGCCCTCCAGCAGGACGAGCTGCTCAGAGCCGCGCTCCCACCTGCCTCCCCGCGTAGCGCAGCGCCAGCTTGCCGCTCACCAGCGCCTGCACGTCCTCAGGGCTGTGGGAAGGAAGGAGCACTGAGCCGCGGCCGCGTTCCCCCCCAGCACCGCCCGCCGCCATCCCCTCTCCCAGCGCCGGCGCCACGTACGCGTTGAGCATGATCTTGCAGAGCAGCATGTACTTGAGGGCCGTGATGGCTTTGGGGTTGTCGATGGAATCGTAGCCCTCAAACGCCTCGTAGAAATAGGAGTAGGCCGTTTTCCAGTCCTTCTCCTCCGCCGCGTGGATGATCCCTGGGGGAGGGGGGGCGATGGGGCTCGACGGGCGCCCACAGCTCCGGCAAGCGGAGCGCCGCGCCGAGCTCCTGCGGTACCTGACTGCATGTCCAGGGCGGCCTGCAGCTTGGGGGGGCAATAGATGGCGTTGGCCGTGGTGCGCGCGGAGGTGAGCGCGGCGCGCGCCTTGGGCAGGTTGCTGAGCGCGTGGTACGTCTTGCTCTCCAGCAGCTGCACCTCCACCAGCAGCGCTTTGTCGTCCATCTTCTTCAGCTCCCGGAGCAGCTGGGAGCCTGCGGGGACAGAGCAGCTGAGCCGGGCTGCGGCATGCGAGGCCAGAAAGGGCAGGGCAGCGGGGCGCCACGCGGCTGGGACGGGGCGGCGCGGCCCCACGGCTCCAGCACAGCCGCACAGGCGCCGCTCCCGGCCGACATGGCGGCGGGGCTCCTCGGGTCCCCAGAGCTGCGGGAGACGCCCCGCTGAGGCTCCACACCCCCAGCCCAGCCCTGCTCCGTCTCAGGCCCCACCGCTCCGACGGAGGAGCGTTTTGAGAGCAGCCGCGGGAGCGGGGCGCCGCCAGAAGAGCAGCACGGCTCCGCTCCGCGCAGCTCGCGGCCGCTGCCGCCGCCCAGCGGGCAACTCACCGAGCTGCAGCGCCTCCTGGTACCGCTTGGTGTCGAAGTACAGCGAGACCAGCCGGGCCTGCGGGCACGAAGGACTGTGGGCTCACGCGGCGGCGCTCCGACCCGTGCGGGGTTCGGCCCCGGCCGGGGAAACGCCGCTGTGAGGCGGGGTGCGAGCAGCGTACCTCCAGAGCCTGGCGGAGGAAGGTCCTCTTCTCAGACTTGGCCCACTCGATGCACTCCAGGCACAGATCGACCTGATGGGAGCAGAAAGAGCAGCGCTGAGCTGCCCACCCAGCAGCATGGCTGAGGGACAGCTGCTGTCACCTCTGGGTTTGCTCCAGGTGACACCGACCACCACCGCCCAGCCCGCAGCTCCATGCAGGCACAGCTCCCAGCGCTCAGTGACAGATGTGAATTACAGCTCCCAGCACGAGGGAAAGTCGAGGCCAGGCTTTCCCCAAGCCTTACAAACCCAAAGCACAAACCTTCCCGCACACACGTGGCTCTCAGGAGCTTTTCCTCACCCCCAGGACAGCCCTGCCGTGCCGGAACACCAAAACAAAGGCTGGGCTCTCCAAGCTTCCCTGAATTGCTGCTGAAATCCCAACTTCTGAACCCCTGGGTTTGGTTTGGAAGCTCTGGGCGCAGCAGCGCTGCTCCTCGGGGGCGGCCGCACAGCCCAGCACAGAGCAAGCAGAGGACGAGGGCAGCCCTGCAGCAGCTGCCAGCCCTGCAGCCCTCAGCCCTCCTCATCAACCAGGACGCCACGGCAGCCGCTCGTTAAGCAGGTGAGCAGTGGGAGGCAGCCTCACCTCCTGGCCCGTGGCCGCCTCCATGTCGAGGAACAGGTCGAGCAGGGAGCGCACCAGGCGGGCGGCCTTGGCCTTGCTGATGGAGTTCAGGAACGGCCGCACGTATTTCAGGAGCCCCCCCAGCTCTGCACGGGGGGAAGCAGAACAGAAGCGCAGCTGGGCGACCTCAGCACCGCAGTGCAGAAGTGCTCCTGGCACAACACCGAGTGTCTTCTCCCCCACCAACCCTTTCCCAACCATCTGAAAGTTTCGTCAAAGCCCAGCAGCTCTCCCTCCCCCCATCCTCTCACCCCCAGCTCTGCTGAAGGCTCGGTCAGAGCAGCCCCCGCTCCAGGAGGTCCTTCATGCCCCAAACGCCCCGAATCCCAGCACAGGCACCACAGGCACCGAACGCAGCCCCCAGGACCAGCGCTCCCAGCCCCCCCTCACCTTCTGCCTGCCCCGTCTTGGCCAGCAGCGACCCCAGCTCCAGGATGCTCTGCTCCTTGACCTGCACCGCTTCCTCATCGTTCTCCTGGACGTCGCGTTTCACTGGAAGAGAGCACAGCAGTGCTGGGGGCCCCCGGAGGATCGGCGCCGCTGTCAGGCAGCACGGCGACAGCCAGCAGTGCCACGGCCAGCGCCGCTGCCACACGCGGCCTGCGCTGCCCAGCACAGGGGCTGAGGCCCCACACCCCCAGCCCAGCCCTGCTCCTCCCGTCTCAGGCCCCACGCCTCGCCTGTCCCCCAGCCCCCAGCCCCCTCCATAGCACACAGCACACACCTCGCGCACTCCTCACCCCTTAGCCCACACCTCCCACCCCATAAGTCCTAAACCCCCACCTCCCACCCCTTACCCACAGCCCCCACCCCACACTTCATACCCCACACACCCTCTACCTCTCAACCCACACCCTGCACCTCGTGTCCCCCAGCCCACACCCCCAACCCTCCATCCTACACCAAAGCCCCACACCCCACTCACACTCCCCTCACACCCCTGACCCACAGACCCTCACCATGACACCCCCAGAACCCCCACACGGTGCTGAGGGCACCCCAAGCACTGCCCCACGGCACCCCTGGGAAGAAACCCCATATCCTATATAAGCACTCCCCTTAACCCACATCCTACATCCTGGCCCATACGTCATAACCCCATAACTCACACCCTGCATCACATACTCCACACCCCCTCTCCTGTACCCCGTACATCCCACAACCCCACACCCCCAGCAGCCCCCATCCCACCCCAACCCTCACCCACAGATCCTGTGTCACCCCCAAAGCCCCTCACACAGCACCGAGGGCGCTCCACCTGCTGCCCCATGGCACCCAATCAACTCTGTGCAAGGGGAGACAGCAGCAGGACAAAGGGAGATGGTTGGAAGCTGAGGGAGGGCAGATGGAGGTTGGATGTCAGGGGAAGTTCTGTGCTGTGAGAGCGGTGAGGGGCTGGAACAGCTGCCCAGAGAGGCTGTGATGCCCCATCCATCCCTGGAGGTGTTCAAGGCCGGGTTGGATGGGGCCCTGGGCAGCCTGGGCTGCTGTGAAATGTGGCAGGGGGTTGGAGCTCCGTGATCCTTGAGGTCCCTCCCAGCCCAGGCCATTCTGTGATCCCTGGGGGTGAACCCCATGTCCCCTTACCCCACACGTCACACGCCCACAATGCAGCCCCCTCACTCCACTCTATGGCTCCCACCCCCCACCCTGTATGTGCCACAGCGCTGTTACCCCACAGCCCAGCAGCTCCCCACCCCCAACAGTACCTGCCCCACCCCAACCCCTGTCCTGTCCCGACCCACAGCCCCTCACCATCACACCCCACAGCCCCTCACACAGCACTGAGGGCAACTCCAACTTCTGCTCCGTGGCACCACCAGAGGAACCCCACATCCCACACAACCCACATCATGTCCCCGTAACTCACACCCCACGTTCTCTACCCAAAACCCATTACCCCGTTCATCCCATACCCCCAGCAGCCCCTATCCCACCCCAACCTCTACCCACAGACCCAGAGGAGGGCACTGAGATGATCAGAGGGCTGGAGCAGCTCTCCTATGAGGGAAGGTTGAGGGAACTGGGCTTGTTTAGCTTGGAGAAGAGAAAGCTGTAGGGAGACCTCATGGTGGCCTTCCAGTGCTTGAAGGGAGTGGATTGACAGGAGGGGAAATGGCTGTTTGTGAGGGTGGATGGTGACAGGACAAGGGAGAATGGTTTTAAACTGAAACAGGGGAGGTCGAGGTTGGATATGAGGAGGAAGTTTTTGAGCCAGAGGGTGGTGAGGCACTGGCACAGGTTGCCCAAGGAGGCTGTGGATGCCCCATCCCTGCAGGCATTCAAGGCCAGGCTGGATGTGGCTCTGGGCAGCCTGGGCTGCTGGTTGGTGACCTGCACACAGCAGGGGGTTGGAGCCAGGTGATCACTGTGCTCCTTTGCAGCCCAGGCCCTTCTGTCACTCTGTGATTCTCACCACCACTCCCAAAGCCCCTCACACAGCACTCACGGCGCCGCAGCCGCTGCCCCACACGTCACAGCCCAACCTCACGGGGAGCCGCAAACCCCAAACCCCAACCCGCCCCCCCCCCCAATCCCCGCCATTCCGGACCCGCCGCCCCGAGCCCAGCAGGCCGCGCCGCGCCGTGAGTCAGCAGCCGGCCGCGCCGCGGCACGGAGGGGGCGGGGATCGGCCGGGAGCCGCCCGAGGGATCGCAGGGAGCCCCGGGGCTCACCGATGGAGTGCAGGATGCCGATGGACGCCTCGCGGTCGGTGGACAGCAGGGACTGCGCGCGCTGGAACTCCAACACCGCCGCCGCCGCCATCTTAGCTCTGTTCGCTCCTCCTCGCGGCCGGCGGCGGAAGCCCCGCCCCCCCGGGGACGCCTACTTCCGGTGCGCGGGATGGCGGGAGGTGTAGTCCGCGGAGGGGGCGGGGCCTGGGGATGAGGAAGAGGAGCCCACTTCCTGCCGTGAGGGCCGATGGGAGTTGTAGGCCGGGGCGTCCCGACACCCGCACGGCGGCCGACATCGCAGCCCCCAAACCACAGCCCGCAGCCCGCACCCTTCACTCCGTGCTCCACCCCCACGCCCCATACCCATCACGCCACACCCCACATCCTGCATCCTGCACCCCACATCCTGTATCCCATACCCCGCACCCCACACTCTGCATCCCCTGTCCCACACCCCATACATCACACACCCCATATCCTCTATTCTCTCTCCTGTATCCCATACTCCTCTCCTAACACAAACCCCTCACCCATATCCCACACTCCGTATCTGATGCCCCATATCCTATAACCCGTGTCCCCTAACACTGATCTCCCACCCTGTACCCCACACCCCCACCCCACACCCCCAACATCCCATATGTCCAGCACTCCATATCCCCTAACGCATCTCATGCCCCACATCCCCGTACCATACCCCATACCGCCACCCCACACCCCGTATCCCACACCCCACATCCCCATACACCTATCCCATCCCCCACCCCCCATCATGCTCCCCCATGCTGAGTCTCTGCCCCACATCGCTCACCCCGCAGCCCTGGGCCACCCCCAGCCCCGCCGCAACCCTTGTCCCCTTTACTGCCCCCACATCCCATAATTGCCCCCAACTCATAACTGCTCCCCACTCCCCATCACTGCCCCCCACACGCTATAGGGTGGTTCACTGCTCTGTTTGGGCAGCGCTCCTCGGGCTCAGATCGCCTCCGGTTTAATGAATGGGCGCAGCTGCAGAAAAGCCCCAAGAGAGAAACCGGGGTTTGTGGAGGCCCAGAAGTGGGATTTGGGATCACAGAACTGCAGAGATGGGATTTGGGATCCCGGATCCCCACCGTTTGTGGGGCGGGCGGCAGGGGGTGACGCAGCCCCACGGAGCGGCACGGAGGCTCCGATCCGGGGCGTTTCGTTCCTCCGCTGCGGCCGTGGGGGGTCGGGGGTGCGCGGGGGGGGGGGAGGGGGAGTGCGGGAACGGGCGGGGGGGGGGCGGGACACGAAGAGTGAGAAATTGCGTTTGGGGCGAGGAGAAACCGCTATGGAGGAGGGGAGGAGAAATGGGGAGGAGGGATAAAGAGAGAAATGGGAGAGAGAGAGAAAGGGGCGGAGGGGAGAGGGGAGAAGGGGGAGAGGGAGGGAAAAAAGGGGGAAAAAAGAAAAATTGAGGAAAATAGGAAAGAAAAGCAGAGAAAATGGAAAAGAGAAAAAGAAAAATAAAATCGAGGGGAAAAAAGAAACAAGAAAAATAGAGGAAAAAGTAGAAAGAAAAAAAGAAGAAAATGGAAAGGAGAAAAAAGGAGAAAAAAGGAGGAAAAAAAAGAAAGGAAAAATAATAAAAAGAAAAAAAAAAGAAAAAAGAAAAAAAAAAGAGAGAAATGAGGAAATAAAAAAGAGAGGAAAGAGAAGCGCCAGGCCGGGCGGCAGCACAGCGGGGCTCAGCCCCACACACACAGATCCCAAACCCGACCCACAGCCACACAGCTGCTCCTCCTGCTGCTCTGCCCCACTGCCTGCCGTGTGCGGCGAACCTGAGCAAGGGGGGAACCTCATTAATGGGAACCTCATTAATGGGGGAACCTGCAGCAATGGGGGAACCTCATTAATGGGAACCTCATTAATGGGAACCTCCATCATTGGAGGAACTTCCATGAATGAGAACCTCCAGCCTAACAAACCTGAAGCTGTGGAATTCCATCAGTGCAAACCTCCACCAGTGGGGGAACCCCCAGCAGTGGGAACTTCCACCAGTGGGGACCTGCCAGTGGGAATCGCCCTTCCGGCAGCACTTCTATCTGTGGGGGAACCTCTGTCAGCGTGAGCCTCCTTTAATGGGAAACCCCATCAATGGGGGAACCTCCATCAGCTGGGGAGCCCAAATCAGTGGGAATCTCCATCAGTGGAGGAACTTCCGTGAGTGAGAACCTCCAGCAGTACGAACTTCCATCAGTGGAACCTCCATCACTGGGAACCTCTGTGAGTGGGAACAGCCGTCAGTGGGACCTCCGTCACGGAGGGAACCTCCTTCAGTGGGAACCTTCCATCATTGGGAACCTCCTCAGTGGAACCTGCATCAGCGGGGCAACGTCCACTGCAGGGAAACCTTGGTGACAGGGAGAACGATGGTCGTGGGGAAACTGATAGGGGAAGCTCCATCTCAGCAAGGCCCTGCTGTGAAGAAGCCTCCATCCTGGGGTACCTCAATAATGGGGGAAGCTCCCCCAGGGGGGAAGGCTCTGCCAAGGAGGAGAGCTCCAGCGTAGGACAAACCGGCATTGTGGGGAGACCTCCGGCGGGGAGGAGCCTCCATCAGGGGGGAAACCTTCGTCAGGAGGACGTTTCCATCGTGGGGGAACCTCTGGTGTGGGGCGGCGCCCAGCAGGGGGGATCCTGTCCTAGAGGAAACCTCCATTGAGGAGACCTCAGTCATGGGGAAACCGGCATCCCTGCGACACCTCCGTACCGGGGGAGCCGCGCAGCGGGGCAGCCTCCAGGGCGCAGAAAAGCCCCGCGCCGAGCAGCGCTCAGCAGGGATCCGCCCCCCCCCCCGCACGCTCGCCCCTCTTTCTGCCCCCGCCCCCCTCTCAGCGCCGCTCTCCCCCTCGCGCACCCCGCGCTCCCCCCGCGCCTCTTGAGCAATAAGGCTGGGATTAATAAAGCCGCCGAGCCCTCGCTAATGGACTCCAGCTGCAAAAACATTCCCTGCATTCAGAGGCTGCTCTGTCTCCGGAGCTCCGCGCGCTGCTCAGCCCCGGCCGAATTCCTGCCCGGCCCCCGCGGGACAGCTGGGCCGGAAAAGCCAGCGTGGATGGCGGCCGTGGGGAGGGGGGTGTGGGGCACGTGGGGGTGGGACGGGCGGGGGGTGCCGGGGGGGCACTGCAGCATTGATGGCTGCGAGGAGGGAGGGGCCGGGCCGCCCCCCATCTGTCCCTTGCTACCTTTCCGTGCCCATCCATCCCGTGTCCATCACCCCACATCCGTCCTTCCAGAACCAGCCATCCCACGTGCACCCATCCCGTGTCCAGCCACCCTATGTCCATCCATCCCGTGTCCATCTGTCCGGTGTCCGTGAATCCCGTGTCCACCCAGTGCCTACTCATCTATGTCCACCCATCCCACATCCATCCATCCCATATCCATCCACTCATCCCATGTCCATCCATCCCATATCCATCCATCCCATATCCATCCACCCATCCCATTTCCATCCATCCATCCCATGTCCACCCATCCCATATTCACCCATCCCATATCCATCCATCCCATATCCATCCATCCATCCATATTCACCCATCCCATATCTACCCATCCCATATTCATCCACCCATCCCATGTCCATCCATCCTGTGCCACCTGCCTGTATCCATGCACTGTGTCCATCTGTCCCATGTCCATCTATCCGTACCCCTCCATCCTATGTCTGCCTGTCCTGTGTCAACCCACTCCATGTCCACCCAACGTCAGTCTTTCCATATCCATCCATGCTGCGTCCATCTGTCCCACGTCCATCTGTCCCCTGTTCACCTACCCCACGTCTGTCACCCCACATCCGCCTGTCCCACACCCCCCCATTCCTCTCCATCCCTCCCCGTCCATCCCATCATCCCTGGACGAACAGGGATGCGCTGAGCCCCCAGCCCCGTGTCCGTCATGCTGCCCCATGTCCTGCCACGGATGTGGGCCGGATGCGGGGCACCAGCTGCCCCCGCTCCCATCCTCACCTCCTCCGGGATGGGTGACCCTGCGGGGTGGGGAATGGGGACAGGAGACGGAGGAACCCAGGGACGCGGGGACGCCGCCATCCCACGGCGCTCCAAGCTGAGCGGCCGCCACCGGGCCGTGCGGGACGTCGGGGCCGCCCCACATCAGCGGGACCAAAGCCCAGGTGAGGCATCGGGGACGACCGCGCGCAGTGCGCGGCGACGGGGCAGGGCTGTAATCGGGCTCCGCTGCGCCGGGCAGCTGAGCAAACAGCGCGGGGCTCCTCGGCGGACATCAAAGGCTGCACTGAGCAGCGGCGTTTGCCGCCCCTGCGCTTTGCTCCAACGGGACGGGATGGGGGCAGCGGGGCCACGCGGCCTCAACCGCACTGAGGACCGCCGGGGTCCTGCGGGCAGCGGCGGGGTCGGCGCCCGTCGTCACCGACGCGGGGCTCCGCGCTCCTGCTGCGCTGAGGGCAGAGCTCGAGGCGCCCCGTCCTCGTGGTGCCGGCCGGACGCGGGCGGCCCCTGGTGTGGGCGCTGAGGGGACGCACGAGGCGAAGCCTCCAGCTCCTCCCAACCGAAAAACTCCCCGATGAACCCCTGCGAGGCCCCGGCCCGCTCGCCTCCCCCCCCCGCAGGAGTGCTGGGCCCCTGAGCGCGGCCAGAGCCCGCATCGCTGCCCGCGGCCTCCCCCCGTGCCCGGCGATGCTTTCAGCCCCAGGCGGAGCCCCGCAGCCCCGCAGCCCCGAACGCGGGATCCCCCCGCAGCCCCTGGCCCCACATCTCCCGCACGGCCGGGGGGGTTGGGGCCAAACCCCACCCGACCCATTGTGTTGCGCCCCCCAAGGCACAGAAGGAAGCGGGGCAACAAACCTCGGCCCCTCCGGGTGGGGCCCCCAGCACAGCTCTGCCGGCCCCCCACCCCCACCCCCCCCGGCTCATCGCTGGAAAATCCAGCCGGATCCAAGGAGTTTTTCCTTTCCAAAACGCGCTGCAGACGCGCGAGGCGCTGCCGTAACCCCTTCGGGTCCTTCCTGCCCCAAACCCGGCACGTTTCATCAGTGGCGCACGCAGGGTTTGGGGACCCGCGGGGCTTTGGGGCTGCCCGGCTCCCAGCCCAGCCCGGCTCCGCTCCGCTCACCACCAACTTTTTTCCGCCCCGCAGCACAGCGATGCCGCGATGACGGCCCCAAAACTCCCCGTTTCCAGCCCAAATCGCAGAGCCGTCCCCGCTGGGATTCCTCCACGCGTCTCCCAGCTCCCGCAGCCCTAATCCTGCCGAAAATGCCAGCTATTTCCTCGGGGCCGCGGCTGCATCGCGTCGTCAGGAGCCCCGCGCAGGGAATCCTCTGCGTTCGCTGAAATTTAGGGGTTTTTTGTTGTTGTTTTTGTTTTTTTCTTTTCCCGTTTTTTTCCCCCCTTCTCCAAAAGCTCTTTGTCTGCAGCCGGAGGGGCCGCACAGCGACGGCCCCAAAGGCGGCCCTGCGCCGTCCCAACCCCAGGAAATAAAACAGAGCCGCGAGGAGAACAGCAGCGCTTGTTTCACTCTCTGTATTTGCAGATGCAGAGGTGAGGAGGACGCAGCAGGAGAGCCCCGAGGAGAGCCCCAACCACGGCCCGGCTCCTGGGCAGGCCGCCAGAAAAGCGCTGACAGCACGGCGCTTTCTGCTCCGTGGCTGCTCTGCTCCCCGTTCTGCCTGCTGGCTCTCTGGCAGCCCGGAGCCCAGCAGCAGCCCAGCACTCGGCTTTGGCTTCTTTTCCCCCTCTTTTTTTTTTTTTTTCTTTCTTTTCTTTAAATAGAAATATATAATTAAATTTACAAGTGCTATTTACAGGTTTAATTACAAAAAAAAAAAAAAAAACCAAAAAACAAAAAACCCAAAAAACAAACAAACAAAAAATAACTGGAAGAGAGAGAGAGAAAGAGGGAGCCAGGGAGGGAGGCGGCCCTTCGCCCGCCGCTCACACCGTGGTCTCGCCCTGCCTGCTGTTGGTGAGCCGCGTGTAAAACTTCCTCCACGAGTGCAGCGTTTTGCCCGACCAGATCCAGAAGCCCGAGGTGATGCCCACGATGAGGGTCATGAGGTACTTGATCATGTAGACGGTGAAGTCCGGCGTCATGCGGGGCGTGAAGTGCAGCGGGCAGGGGATGGCCAGGCTCTTGCAGTGCTGGCTGATCCAGCTGCGCTCCCAGTGCTGGCGGAAGGCCTGCTCGTAGAAGTAGCAGGCGATGACGATGGTGGCCGGCACGGTGTAGAGCACGCTGAAGACCCCGATGCGCACCATCAGGCGCTCCAGCTTCTCCGTCTTGGTGCCGCCGTGCTTCATGATGGTGCGGATGCGGAAGAGGGAGACGAAGCCGGCCAGCAGGAAGGAGGTGCCGATGAAGAGGTAGACGAAGAGCGGCGCCAGCACGAAGCCCCGCAGCGGGTCGATGCCGTTGAGCCCCACGAAGCAGACGCCGCTCAGCAGGTCGCCGTCGATCTGCCCCATTGCCAGGATGGTGATGGTCTTGACGGCCGGCACGGCCCAGGCGGCCAGGTGGAAGTACTGCGAGTTGGCCTCGATGGCCTCGTGGCCCCACTTCATGCCGGCGGCCAGGAACCAGGTGAGGGAGAGGATGACCCACCAGATGGAGCTGGCCATGCTGAAGAAGTAGAGCATCATGAAGAGGATGGTGCAGCCCTCCTTCTTGGTGCCCTGCACCACCGTGCGGTAGCCGTCCTCCTGGAAGCGCTCGTTGCACACCACGCGCTCCTGCAGCACGAAGCCGGCGATGTAAGCCACGGACACCATGGTGTAGCAGCCCGACAGGAAGATGATGGGCCGCTCGGGGTAGCGGAACCGCTGCATGTCCACCAGGTAGGTGGTGACGGTGAAGAAGGTGGAGGCGCAGCACAGCACGGACCAGACCAGGATCCAGACGCGGGCGAAGCGGATCTCGTCCTCGTTGAAGAACATGTGGCCGTCGGGCCGGGCCGGCTCGCAGGGCGCCGCGCAGTCCTTCTCGCCCAGGAATTTGTAGTTGAGGTACCCGGGCACCTTCAGCGCCCGCGGGCAGTGGAACGGCCGCTCCGGCGTGGCGTAGCGCGGCGCTCCGGGGGTGCCGTGCGCGACGGGCGGCGCGGCGCTGGTGAGCAGCGCTGCCGAGGAGCCGCCGTCCTCCGAGTGGTTCTGCCCGACGCAGATCTGCTCGGCGCCGTGCCGGGGGAAGTTCTCGCAGCGCAGCCGCTCGGGCCACTGGAAGCCGAATTTGTTCATCAGCGCCTCGCAGCCCTGCCGGGCGCGCTCGCAGATGGAGCGGCAGGGCGGGATGGCCTGCTCCAGCACGGTGCACACCGGGGCGTACATGGAGCACAGGAAGAACTTGAGCTCCAGCGAGCACTGCACCTTGACCAGCGGGTAGAACTGGTGCACCTCCAGCCCCGCGTCCTCCTGGTTGGTGTGGCCCAGCAGGTTGGGCATGATGGTCTGGTTGTAGGCGATGTCGGTGCACAGCGGGATGGAGATGGGCTGGCAGAAGCCGTGGTCGGGCACGGAGATGCCCTTCTCGCCGTGCGGCTGCCCCCGGCTCGGCGCCGCGCTCAGCCCCGCCAGCAGCACGGCCAGGACGGGCAGGGCGCCGGGGGGGGCCCGCATGGCGCCGGGGGGGTCCGCGCGCCGCCCGGCGGCCCCGCGCTCGCCGCGCCCCGCTCCCAGCGCGGCCCTATCGCGCCGTATCGCGGGCTATCGCGCCCTATCGCGCCGTATCGCGCCCTATCGCGCCCGCAGCCGCCGCCGCGCTCCCACCGCCGCCTTTGTGCGGGGCGCCGCCGCGGACCCGCCGGGAGGAGCGGCCCCCCCCGCCCCGCCCCCCGCCCCGCCAATCGCAGCCCGCCCCGCGCTCGCCCCGCCCCCCCCGCCGTCCCCCCCCGCCCCCGGGGGCCCCCCGCCCCTCCCCGTCCCCCCCCGCCAAAACTTTTCGGCGCTGCGAAACTTCTCCCCCTCCCCCGCCCGCCCCCCCGGCCCGATCCGGGGGCACGAAGCCACTTTTACGGCGACTTTCTCGAGTGCCCCCCGCAAAGCGCCGCTCGGAGCCCCGCCGCCCCCCCCTCCGCCCCGCGCCGCTCCGTTCGCTGGGACGCCTCTACCCCAAAGCGGAGCTCGGCGGGGCGGTGCCGTCGGAGGGGTTCGGCCCCGGGGGGGGGCGCGGAGACCCTCGGCGGCGGCTCGCTGCCCCCCGCCCCCCCTCCGTCGCCGTCAGCTCGGCCGTAGCCGCGCGCAGAAGCCCCGCTCGGGGGGCCCCAGAGCCTTTCAGGCGTAATTGAAACCATCGCGCGGCTGCGGAGCGGGGGGAGGGGCGGGGGGGCGGCGGGCGGAGCGGAACCCCGCGGCTCCGCGCGGGACCCCCGGCGTTGTCCCCGCGGCGGTGGGGACCCGGCCGGGCCGCCCCGGCTAACGGGGGCCGTTCGGAAAGCGTTCCGAGTCGGGCTGCGTCGGGGAGGGGAACGTCGGCGTCTGTGTCCCCTCCCCTCCTGCCGGCTCCGGGGGCGCCTCGGGGCACGCGTGGGGACGGCCTGAACCCCGCGGGGGGCGGCGGGGCGTCCTCGGTGTGTGCGGGGCGCACCGGACCGGGATGGGCACCGCCGCCCGAGACCTGCGGGAAGGGATGCGGCCGGGAGATCCGCGGTGCGAAAGCGGGGGGCAGAACGGGGGCGGGCCGGGGAGCCGCGATGGGAGCCGCGGGGCTCGGGAAGGGGCCCCCGGCCCCGGCTTTGTTTCACACTTAAGAGCCGCTAATTAAAACCAGGCGCTCACGGTGTCGGGAGGGGGGGGGGAAGGGAACAGAAGAAGGGGATCGGCGTGGGCATCGGAGCCGACACGTGTCCGCACACACGTGCATACACACACACATGTACACACATGTACACACATGTACACTGTACACACGTGCACACACATGTACACACACACACGTGCGCACGCCTACGGTGCTGCACGCAGCTCGAGGCTCCGCCGCTCTCGTCCTCCGTGACCCCTCAGAGGCCGGCCGTGGGGGGGCTGCGCTCAGCTCCCGGTGACCCCGCGGCCCAGAGGCTCCCGGCCGTGTCGGACACGGCCCCGGCGGCGGCCCGCATTCACGGCTCGGGCGGCTCGCGAGCGGAGCGGCGGAATGAAAGGGCGGCTTAAGGGCGGCTTAAGGGCGCCCCGCTGCGCCCCGCGGATGAGCGCCGTCGGGAGAGCCGCGTGCCGCGGTGTGGGGACGGCGGGGACGGGAGGGAGGGGTGCGGGACGCCGAGGTGAGCGACGTGCGGGTCGCGGTCGCGGGGCGGTGGGGCCGGCAGCCCCCAGGCACGCGCCGCCGGGCGCAGCTGTCGCTGTCAGCACGCGGTATTTTTAGAGCGCCGTGCGGGGCCGTGAGCTGCGCGGTGCTTCGGGGTCACGGCCGCCCCGCTCCGCCCCCGTTGAGCGGCTCCGCGCGGCCCGGCTCCGTCGGCTCCGGATCTCCTCCTCGTCCCGACGTGGCCGCGGTGCCGCGCGGTGCCCCGGCGCTGCCGTCCCCTCGTGGCTCCCGGGGTTCGGTGACCCACGGCACAGCCGGCGCCGTGCACGTGACGGGAGGTGACTGACAGCAGTGACGGGAGGTGACAGCAGTGCCCGCTATTTATACCCGTCCCTTCTCAGGGCTGTGCGCTACGTGACCCCGCGGGGCCCCCCCTCCTCTTCCCGGGGCGCAAACAGCCTCCGGGACTCGCTGAGCGCACGGCGCTGCCAAGGGCGGCCGCAGGGTCCCCCGCCGGCTCTGTCCCCAGCCGTGCCAGCGCTGTCCCCGTCACCCTACAGGCTGGAGCGGCCCCCACCGCGCTCCATGGACGCCCCAACTGCCCCATGCCCCCCGGGCCCATACGGCCCAGCTGGGGGCTCCCCCGTGCCCGTAGGGACACCGAGATGTCCCCATATCCGGGGAGGATCCGAGGAGTTCCTGTGTCTGATGGCCCGCCGGGGACCTGGGGCCATTTCTGCTCCCCCTGGGGACGCAGAGCTGCCCTTTGCCCGGCAGGGTGCAGAAAGCGTGGATCTGCGCCAGAGGGGACGCAGAGCTGAAGCTGTGCCCAAAGGGGACACCCAGCCGTCCCTGTGCCTGGAGGCAGGGATTGATCCTGTGCCCAGAGGTGGCACTGAAGTGTCCTTGTGTCCAATGATGGCATGGAGTTGTGCCCAGCGGGGACACTGTGCTGTCCCCACACACTTTGGGGACACGGATCTGTGCCAGCAGGAGCACTCAGCAGTTCCCATGTGTGAGCAAGTGCTGCAACTGAACCCACAAGAGAGAGCATCCCTATGGAGCAAACCTCATCCCCATGGGGCACACCTCATCCATATGGGGGACACCTCATTGCTATGGGCCACACCACAACCCACGTGGCACAGCCCTAGCAGGCACAAGCCCTCGTTGCAGAGCAAAGCAAGAGCAGGTCCTCGCTGGCCCCCCAGCCGCTACAGCCCCACACAGAGCAGCGCAGAGCAGCACAGGCTCAGCCAACCTGCAGGAAGGGGCACTGGGCTGTTCTTGCTCACATAGTGTGCAGAAACACAGGGGGCTCAGGGGGGTTGTTGTGCTGTGCTGTGTTGTGCAGTGCTATGTTGTGTTGTGTTGTGTTGTGCTGTGCTGTGTTGTGTTGTGCTGTGTTGTGTTGTGTTGTGCTGTGTTGTGTTGTGCTGTGCTGTGTTGTGCTGTGCTGTGTTGTGCAGTGCTATGTTGTGTTGTGTTGTGTTGTGTTGTGCTGTGCTGTGCTGTGTTGTGTTGTGCTGTGTTGTGCTGTGTTGTGTTGTGCTGTGTTGTGTTGTGTTGTGCTGTGTTGTGTTGAGCTGTGCTGTGTTGTGTTGTGCTGTGCTGTGCTGTGTTGTGCTGTGCTGTGCTGTGTTGTGTTGAGCTGTGCTGTGTTGTGCTGTGTTGTGTTGTGCTGTGCTGTGTTGTGTTGTGCTGTGTTGTGCTGTGTTGTGCTGTGTTGTGCTGTGCTGTGTTGTGTTGTGTTGTGCTGTGTTGTGCTGTGTTGTGTTGTGCTGTGTTGTGTTGTGTTGTGTTGTGCTGTGCTGTGCTGTGTTGTGTTGTGCTGTGTTGTGCTGTGTTGTGCTGTGCTGTGCTGTGTTGTGTTGTGCTGTGTTGTGCTGTGTTGTGCTGTGTTGTGCTGTGCTGTGTTGTGTTGTGTTGTGCTGTGTTGTGCTGTGTTGTGTTGTGCTGTGTTGTGTTGTGTTGTGTTGTGCTGTGTTGTGTTGTGCTGTGTTGTGTTGTGCTGTGCTGTGTTGTGCTGTGTTGTGTTGTGTTGCGTTGTGCTGCGTTGTGCTGTGTTGTGTTGTGCTGTGTTGTGTTGTGCTGTGCTGTGCTGTGTTGTGTTGTGTTGTGTTGTGTTGTGCTGTGTTGTGTTGTGCTGTGTTGTGTTGTGCTGTGTTGTGTTGTGTTGTGCTGTGTTGTGCTGTGTTGTGCTGTGTTGTGTTGTGTTGTGTTGTGCTGTGTTGTGCTGTGTTGTGCTGTGTTGTGCTGTGTTGTGTTGTGCTGTGCTGTGTTGTGCTGTGTTGTGCTGTGTTGTGTTGTGCTGTGTTGTGTTGTGCTGTGTTGTGTTGTGTTGTGTTGTGCTGTGCTGTGTTGTGCTGTGTTGTGCTGTGTTGTGTTGTGCTGTGTTGTGTTGTGCTGTGCTGTGTTGTGCTGTGTTGTGCTGTGTTGTGTTGTGTTGCGTTGTGCTGCGATGTGCTGTGTTGTGTTGTGCTGTGTTGTGTTGTGCTGTGTTGTGTTGTGCTGTGTTGTGCTGTGTTGTGTTGTGCTGTGTTGTGCTGTGCTGTGTTGTGCTGTGTTGTGTTGTGCTGTGCTGTGTTGTGCTGTGTTGTGCTGTGTTGTGCTGTGTTGTGCTGTGCTGTGTTGTGCTGTGTTGTGCTGTGTTGTGTTGTGCTGTGTTGTGCTGTGTGGTGTTGTGCTGTGTTGTGTTGTGCTGTGCTGTGCTGTGTTGTGTTGTGCTGTGTTGTGTTGTGCTGTGTTGTGTTGTGCTGTGTTGTGCTGTGTTGTGTTGTGTTGTGCTGTGTCGTGCTGTGTTGTGCTGTGTTGTGTTGTGCTGTGTTGTGTTGTGCTGTGTTGTGCTGTGTTGTGTTGTGCTGTGTTGTGTTGTGCTGTGTTGTGTTGTGCTGTGTTGTGCTGTGCTGTGTTGTGCTGTGTTGTGCTGTGTTGTGTTGTGCTGTGTTGTGCTGTGTTGTGTTGTGTTGTGCTGTGTTGTGTTGTGCTGTGTTGTGTTGTGTTGTGCTGTGCTGTGTTGTGTTGTGCTGTGTTGTGTTGTGTTGTGCTGTGCTGTGTTGTGCTGTGTTGTGTTGTGTTGTGCTGTGTTGTGTTGTGCTGTGTTGTGCTGTGTTGTGTTGTGTTGTGCTGTGTTGTGCTGTGTTGTGTTGTGCTGTGTTGTGCTGTGCTGTGCTGTGTTGTGTTGTGCTGTGTTGTGTTGTGCTGTGTTGTGCTGTGTGGTTGTGTTGTGTTGTGCTGTGTTGTGCTGTGTTGTGTTGTGCTGTGTTGTGCTGTGCTGTGCTGTGCTGTGTTGTGCTGTGTTGTGTTGTGTTGTGTTGTGCTGTGTTGTGTTGTGCTGTGTTGTGTTGTGTTGTGCTGTGTTGTGTTGTGCTGTGTTGTGCTGTGTTGTGTTGTGTTGTGCTGTGTTGTGCTGTGTTGTGTTGTGTTGTGCTGTGTTGTGCTGTGCTGTGCTGTGTTGTGTTGTGCTGTGTTGTGTTGTGCTGTGTTGTGCTGTGTTGTGTTGTGTTGTGTTGTGCTGTGTTGTGTTGTGCTGTGTTGTGTTGTGCTGTGCTGTGCTGTGCTGTGTTGTGCTGTGTTGTGTTGTGTTGTGCTGTGTTGTGCTGTGTTGTGTTGTGCTGTGCTGTGTTGTGCTGTGTTGTGCTGTGTTGTGTTGTGTTGTGTTGTGCTGTGTTGTGCTGTGTTGTGTTGTGTTGTGCTGTGTTGTGTTGTGCTGTGTTGTGTTGTGCTGTGTTGTGTTGTGCTGTGTTGTGTTGTGTTGTGTTGTGTTGTGCTGTGTTGTGCTGTGTTGTGTTGTGTTGTGCTGTGTTGTGTTGTGCTGTGTTGTGTTGTGCTGTGTTGTGCTGTGTTGTGTTGTGTTGTGCTGTGTTGTGCTGTGTTGTGTTGTGTTGTGCTGTGTTGTGCTGTGTTGTGTTGTGTTGTGCTGTGTTGTGTTGTGTTGTGCAGTGCTGTGTTGTGCTGTGATGTGCTGTGTTGTGTTGTGCTGTGCTGTGTTGTGCTGTGTTGTGCTGTGCTGTGTTGTGTTGTGCTGTGTTGTGCTGTGTTGTGTTGTGTTGTGCTGTGTTGTGTTGTGCTGTGTTGTGTTGTGCTGTGTTGTGTTGTGCTGTGCTGTGTTGTGCTGTGTTGTGTTGTGTTGCGTTGTGCTGCGATGTGCTGTGTTGTGTTGTGCTGTGTTGTGTTGTGTTGTGTTGTGCTGTGTTGTGTTGTGTTGTGCTGTACTGTGTTGTGTTGTGTTGTGCTGTGTTGTGTTGTGCTGTGTTGTGTTGTGCTGTGCTGTGTTGTGTTGTGCTGTGTTGTTCTGTGCTGTGTTGTGCTGTGTTGTGCTGTCTTGTGCTGTGTTGTGTTGTGCTGTGCTGTGTTGTGCTGTGCTGTGTTGTGCTGTGTTGTGTTGTGCTGTTCTGTGTTGTGTTGTGCTGTGTTGTGCTGTGTTGTGTTGTGCTGTGTTGTGTTGTGCTGTGCTGTGTTGTGCTGTGCTGTGTTGTGCTGTGTTGTGTTGTGCTGTTCTGTGTTGTGTTGTGCTGTGCTGTGTTGTGTTGTGCTGTGTTGTGCTGTGTTGTGTTGTGCTGTGTTGTGTTGTGTTGTGCTGTGCTGTGCTGTGTTGTGTTGTGCTGTGTTGTGTTGTGCTGTGTTGTGTTGTGCTGTGCTGTGTTGTGCAGTGCTGTGTTGTGTTGTGTTGTGTTGTGCTGTGTTGTGTTGTGCTGTGTTGTGTTGTGCTGTGCTGTGTTGTGCTGCGCTGTGTTGTGCTGTGTTGTGCTGTGCTGTGTTGTGTTCAGCTGTGCTGTGTTGTGCTGTGCTGTGTTGTGTTGTGCTGTGTTGTGTTGTGTTGTGCTGTGTTGTGCTGTGCTGTGTTGTGCTGTGTTGTGCTGTGCTGTGTTGTGCTGTGTTGTGTTGTGCTGTGTTGTGTTGTGTTGTGCTGTGTTGTGCTGTGTTGTGTTGTGCTGTGTTGTGTTGTGCTGTGTTGTGCTGTGTTGTGTTGTGCTGTGTTGTGTTGTGCTGTGTTGTGTTGTGCTGTGTTGTGCTGTGTTGTGCTGTGTTGTGTTGTGCTGTGTTGTGCTGTGCTGTGTTGTGTTGTGCTGTGTTGTGCTGTGTTGTGCTGTGTTGTGTTGTGCTGTGTTGTGCTGTGCTGTGTTGTGTTGTGCTGTGCTGTGTTGTGTTGTGCTGTGTTGTGTTGTGCTGTGTTGTGCTGTGTTGTGCTGTGCTGTGTTGTGCTGTGTTGTGTTGTGCTGTGTTGTGTTGTGTTGTGCTGTGCTGTGTTGTGTTGTGCTGTGTTGTGTTGTGCTGTGTTGTGCTGTGTTGTGTTGTGCTGTGTTGTGTTGTGCTGTGTTGTGTTGTGTTGTGCTGTGTTGTGCTGTGTTGTGCTGTGCTGTGTTGTGCTGTGTTGTGTTGTGCTGTGTTGTGTTGTGCTGTGTTGTGTTGTGCTGTGTTGTGCTGTGTTGTGCTGTGTTGTGTTGTGCTGTGCTGTGCTGTGCTGTGTTGTGCTGTGTTGTGCTGTGTTGTGTTGTGCTGTGCTGTGTTGTGTTGTGTTGTGTTGTGCTGTGCTGTGTTGTGCTGTGCTGTGTTGTGCTGTGTTGTGTTGTGTTGTGCTGTGTTGTGTTGTGCTGTGCTGTGTTGTGTTGTGTTGTGTTGTGTTGTGCTGTGTTGTGCTGTGTTGTGTTGTGTTGTGCTGTGTTGTGTTGTGCTGTGTTGTGCTGTGTTGTGTTGTGTTGTGCTGTGTTGTGCTGTGTTGTGCTGTGCTGTGTTGTGTTGTGCTGTGTTGTGCTGTGTTGTGCTGTGCTGTGTTGTGCTGTGCTGTGTTGTGTTGTGTTGTGTTGAGCTGTGCTGTGTTGTGCTGTGCTGTGCTGTGTTGTGCTGTGTTGTGCTGTGCTGTGTTGTGCTGTGTTGTGTTGTGCTGTGTTGTGTTGTGTTGTGTTGTGCTGTGTTGTGTTGTGCTGTGTTGTGCTGTGTTGTGCTGTGTTGTGTTGTGCTGTGTTGTGTTGTGCTGTGTTGTGTTGTGCTGTGCTGTGCTGTGTTGTGTTGTGCTGTGTTGTGATGTGTTGTGCTGTGTTGTGTTGTGCTGTGCTGTGCTGTGCTGTGTTGTGTTGTGCTGTGCTGTGCTGTGTTGTGCTGTGTTGTGCTGTGTTGTGTTGTGCTGTGTTGTGGTATGTTGTGCTGTGTTGTGTTGTGCTGCGCTGTGTTGTGTTGTGCTGTGCTGTGTTGTGTTGTGTTGTGCTGTGCTGTGTTGTGTTGTGCTGTGTTGTGCTGTGTTGTGCTGTGCTGTGTTGTGGTGTGTTGTGCTGTGTTGTGCTGTGCTGTGTTGTGCTGTGTTGTGTTGTGCTGTGTTGTGTTGTGTTGTGTTGTGCTGTGTTGTGTTGTGTTGTGCTGTGTTGTGTTGTGTTGTGCTGTGTTGTGCTGTGTTGTGCTGTGCTGTGTTGTGCTGTGTTGTGTTGTGCTGTTTTGTGATGTGTTGTGCTGTGTTGTGCTGTGTTGTGTTGTGCTGCGCTGTGTTGTGTTGTGCTGTGTTGTGTTGTGTTGTGTTGTGCTGTGCTGTGTTGTGTTGTGCTGTGTTGTGCTGTGTTGTGCTGTGCTGTGTTGTGCTGTGTTGTGTTGTGTTGTGTTGAGCTGTGCTGTGTTGTGCTGTGCTGTGCTGTGTTGTGCTGTGTTGTGCTGTGCTGTGTTGTGCTGTGTTGTCTTGTGCTGTGTTGTGTTGTGTTGTGCTGTGTTGTGTTGTGCTGTGTTGTGCTGTGTTGTGCTGTGTTGTGTTGTGCTGTGTTGTGTTGTGCTGTGTTGTGTTGTGTTGTGCTGTGTTGTGTTGTGCTGTGCTGTGCTGTGTTGTGTTGTGCTGTGTTGTGTTGTGCTGTGTTGTGTTGTGCTGTGCTGTGCTGTGTTGTGCTGTGTTGTGTTGTGTTGTGCTGTGTTGTGTTGTGGTGTGTTGTGCTGTGTTGTGTTGTGCTGTGCTGTGTTGTGCTGTGTTGTGTTGTGCTGTGTTGTGTTGTGTTGTGCTGTGTTGTGCTGTGTTGTGTTGTGTTGTGCTGTGTTGTGCTGTGTTGTGTTGTGCTGTGCTGTGTTGTGCTGTGTTGTGCTGTGCTGTGCTGTGTTGTGTTGTGTTGTGCTGTGTTGTGTTGTGCTGTGTTGTGCTGTGTTGTGCTGTGCTGTGTTGTGCTGTGTTGTGTTGTGCTGTGCTGTGTTGTGCTGTGTTGTGCTGTGTTGTGTTGTGCTGTGTTGTGTTGTGCTGTGCTGTGCTGTGTTGTGTTGTGCTGTGTTGTGCTGTGTTGTGCTGTGTTGTGCTGTGCTGTGTTGTGTTGTGCTGTGTTGTGCTGTGCTGTGTTGTGTTGTGCTGTGCTGTGTTGTGCTGTGTTGTGTTCTGCTGTGCTGTGCTGTGCTGTGTTGTGTTGTGCTGTGTTGTGCTGTGTTGTGTTTTGTTGTGCTGTGCTGTGCTGTGTTGTGTTGTGCTGTGTTGTGTTGTGCTGTGCTGAGTTGTGCTGTGCTGTGTTGTGTTGTGCTGTGTTGTGTTGTGCTGTGTTGTGCTGTGTTGTGCTGTGCTGTGTTGTGTTGTGCTGTGCTGTGTTGTGCTGTGTTGTGTTGTGCTGTGCTGTGTTGTGCTGTGTTGTGCTGTGTTGTGTTTTGTTGTGCTGTGCTGTGCTGTGTTGTGTTGTGCTGTGTTGTGTTGTGCTGTGCAGAGTTGTGCTGTGCTGTGTTGTGTTGTGCTGTGTTGTGTTGTGCTGTGTTGTGCTGTGTTGTGCTGTGCTGTGTTGTGTTGTGCTGTGTTGTGCTGTGCTGTGTTGTGTTGTGCTGTGCTGTGTTGTGCTGTGTTGTGTTGTGCTGTGCTGGGCTGTGTTGTGTTGTGCTGTGCTGTGTTGTGTTGTGCTGTGCTGTGCTGTGTTGTGCTGTGTTGTGGTGTGTTGTGTTGTGCTGTGCTGTGTTGTGCTGTGCTGTGTTGTGGTGTGTTGTGCTGTGCTGTGTTGTGTTGTGCTGTGCTGTGCTGTGTTGTGCTGTGTTGTGCTGTGTTGTGTTGTGCTGTGCTGTGCTGTGTTGTGCTGTGTTGTGCTGTGTTGTGCTGTGCTGTGTTGTGTTGTGCTGTGTTGTGCTGTGCTGTGTTGTGCTGTGCTGTGTTGTGTTGTGCTGTGCTGTGTTGTGCTGTGCTGTGTTGTGCTGTGTTGTGTTGTGCTGTGTTGTGTTGTGCTGTGCTGTGCTGTGCTGTGCTGTGTTGTGTTGTGCTGTGTTGTGCTGTGTTGTGTTGTGCTGTGTTGTGCTGTGTTGTGCTGTGTTGTGTTGTGTTGTGCTGTGTTGTGCTGTGCTGTGTTGTGTTGTGCTGTGTTGTGTTGTGCTGTGTTGTGCTGTGTTGTGTTGTGTTGTGCTGTGTTGTGCTGTGTTGTGTTGTGCTGTGTTGTGTTGTGCTGTGTTGTGTTGTGTTGTGTTGTGCTGTGCTGTGTTGTGTTGTGCTGTGTTGTGCTGTGCTGTGCTGTGTTGTGTTGTGCTGTGTTGTGCTGTGTTGTGCTGTGTTGTGTTGTGTTGTGCTGTGTTGTGCTGTGCTGTGTTGTGTTGTGCTGTGCTGTGTTGTGCTGTGTTGTGCTGTGCTGTGCTGTGTTGTGTTGTGCTGTGTTGTGCTGTGTTGTGTTGTGCTGTGCTGTGCTGTGTTGTGTTGTGCTGTGTTGTGCTGTGTTGTGCTGTGTTGTGTTGTGTTGTGCTGTGTTGTGCTGTGCTGTGTTGTGTTGTGTTGTGTTGTGCTGTGCTGTGTTGTGTTGTGCTGTTTTGTGATGTGTTGTGCTGTGTTGTGCTGTGTTGTGTTGTGCTGCGCTGTGTTGTGTTGTGCTGTGTTGTGTTGTGCTGTGTTGTGTTGTGTTGTGTTGTGCTGTGTTGTGTTGTCCTGTGTTGTGTTGTGTTGTGCTGTGTTGTGCTGTGTTGTGTTTTGCTGTGTTGTGTTGTGTTGTCCTGTGTTGTGCTGTGCTGTGTTGTGCTGTGTTGTGTTGTGCTGTGTTGTGTTGTGCTGTGTTGTGTTGTGTTGTGTTGTGCTGTGTTGTGCTGTGTTGTGTTGTGCTGTGTTGTGATGTGTTGTGCTGTGTTGTGCTGTGTTGTTTTGTGGTGTGTTGTGCT